GAGGCTAAAAGGCTGATCCAAAGGTGCACAGTTAGGAAGTTACTAGGGGCTAATATTCCTAATGGAACCTCTGACTGATGCCAAAGTATGTTAACTACTAGACTTAAGAGATAAAATGTCCTCATTTTCATGAATCTGAAAGATTACCAAATTTTTGGGTGGAAAATGTGTTCTAGAACCACAGAAACTTCTCAGTGAAGAGCTTCCTTTTTATCTCCTTTAATTTTTGAATTATACTTCTATAAATAATTATCTTATTCTTCTAGAGCAATCTAAAAAGTAATTTCTAATATCTCAAAAGTTATTAACAGCTACTTCCCACTGCATTAATACTATAAAATTAAATTTCTAAGTAGAAGATTCAAGTACCATAAACATAGAAGAGTGTAAGCAAGCGTAATCTATAAATAGTTCTTATGACATTCCAGATTACCTGCCTGGAATAAATCTCTCTTTAATATACCTAAAATGGCCTCCCACCCAAAGATGTACATACCAATTTTTCTAAAAGATAGCTCACATTAAACTTATTAAGCAGCTTCGCTTCTAAAGGAATGAATATGGCCTTAATGGTTTGGTTAGATGGAATTACATTTTGGAACACGATTTGAGAACTTGATTCATGGAAATTTTGCCTTTGTTAGTAACACCTGGAATATAGGAGACTTTTGACAGAGATTCCAGGAATACCCCTGACTGCATGCTGGAATACACATACATATCACCTTCTACTTCATGTTAACTAAAGTTAGAAACTTATGAGATTTGTTCCAACAAGCAACAAGCAAAGTTCCATTATCATCATCATTCTCCTCCCCACACAAAATAGCCATAGAAAATACAGGGCATGCTGGGCGCGGTGGCTCACGCCTGTAATCCCAGCACTTTGGGAGGCCGAGACGGGCGGATCACGAGGTCAGGAGATCGAGACCATCCTGGCGAACACGGTGAAACCCCATCTCTACTAAAAAATACAAAAAAACTAGCCGGGCGAGGTGGCGGGCGCCTGTAGTCCCAGCTACTCGGGAGGCTGAGGCAGGAGAATGGCGTAAACCCGGGAGGCGGAGCTTGCAGTGAGCTGAGATCCGCCACTGCACCCCAGCATGGGCGACAGAGCGAGACTCCGTCTCAAAAAAAAAAAAAAAAAAAAAAAAAAAAAAAAAAATACAGGGCAGAAAAAGCCATATCATTTCCTTACCCATTGCCTGGTTCATGGCTCAGACCCCTGTAACACAATACAGATTAACAAGAGAAAAGCCGAACAAATGTATTTAATATAAGTTTTATGTGCCATGGGAGCCTTCAAAAATAAAGACCTAAAGACAACTGTGTATTTTTATGGACAGTCATGCAGAGGTATGATTGGACGATAAAAGAGTATGACTTGACAGTAATAAATTGGGGAAAACTTAGCAAGGCCTATTTGTTCAGATTCTTCTTGGCATGTAAGTAGAGGGCAGAACTCCTCTGGAATGAGGGCCTTATGACCTACTTGCAGGGCTGACAGGTCAGATAATTCTTTTACGGCACACTTGAGGGTAGACAAACGGAAGAAGGTCAGAGAGCGATCTTCCTGCTTCTGTAGTTTTCTCAGTTTCCTTCACCTTAAAATACTCAGTACGCAGAGCTAGCATATTTTGGGGGTAGCACGTCCTGAGACCTATCATAAACAATGACAAAATCCATGTCCTCACAAGCTTACCTTCTCAAAGAATTAGAGAAAAGACAGAGGTACAGGTGCATAGCCAAACAAATAAAAGACAACGAAGAACACCTTGAGAGAAATCAAATCATGCACCAGGACAGAGAGCAGGGGTTTAAGAGAGCAACTTCAGATGAACGGTCAGGGGGGCTGTTTGCATCTGTATGGTTGAAGATGAAAGAAAAAGATTATTTCTCAAGCCTGCAGGACATCAAACTGCTGCAATAATCACCTTGTGGATGGCAGGGTTCTACCACTTTTAAACCCAAAAAGGAGAGTTAATAATCAATTGTGAAATAAGAGGTCACTTTTTCACTTCGATATTTCCCTTCCCTGACTACAAGTGCCTTACTGAGTAAGCGAGGCCATGCTTGTTCTTTGTAAAGCAGAATTTAAAGCCCCTGAAACAAAAAAACCCTACAGTGGTATCATGTTCAAGAGGCTAACTCAGTGGTGTGCCTTCATTAATAATAACAACAGGTGCTCCAGGGGCAAAGACCATTACCGGGCTTATTGCTATTACCACTCAGCATGAGACAAAAATGGTTTAGAACCCAGGGATCAGGCAGAATATCAAGAATGAGACATGGAGGCAAAGATGAAGAGAACAGTCACTGTGCTTTCCATGGCAGGTTGTCAAATGCTGCCTTAAAATGTGCAACTGTGTGAATTTCAAAATATGAAATGCTCAGAGTCTTGAATTGTAGTTTTCACAACTGGACAGCTGAATATTAAAGATGCTGCTTTGTCCCCTAGAGGGGCTGGCTACTGCAAGACTGGCTTCCAGGGGTCATAATTATGTGACCACTGCCACTCAATATTTTATCATCATACAATACTGAGGCTGGCAAATATGTATCATGGGATGTGCTTGTTAATAGTGAAGATTCCCAAGCCCCAGTCACAATATTCTAAATAAGTAGGTTTAGAATAAGACCTGAGAATCAACTTTTTGTTGTTGTTGACTGATATCAAAGTTAATTTTCATGCAGGTGATACAAAGATCACATTTTGAAAAGTAGATTCAACAACTTTAGATATGGATACTTTGTCTAAAGAACAGCTTTGGAACCTTCATTGTTCTCTGGGATTTTACGCCTGTGTGTGTGTGCGTGTGTGTGTGTGTGTGTGTGTGTGTGTGTGTGTGTGTGTGTATGGTGGTTTTCTTTTAACCACCGTATTCTACAAATGAGTCAAGATATCCCCATTAATTCATGTCAGGGGACTTCTGTGATCAGGTTGGAAACAATTGAAAGATATGCAAAACAACATAATCTGCTGATTTAGAAAACAGAATTATTTTTAAAAAATCAACTTAAGCTAAACAATCAGAGTGGTGATAACAATAACCACATTCAACAATTCAAATATAAGTACTATCTGTTAAGAATTAGTCCATCATCATCACCATCAAAGCTAACAAAAACATTACACATTTTGGCCAGATAATTGGGACATTAAAAAGTAATTACTATTGGAGCTACATAATCTATAGCCATAGTTATCAGCTCAGCTAGGCTCACTGCTTATTTGTTTTTTGTGTGTGAGTGTGTGTGTGTGTGTATTAATTTTAGTCAAGAGATAATTCAAACATCATAAAATTCACCATTTTAAGACATACAATTCAGTGGCTTTATTATATTCACAATGTTGCACAACCATCACCACTAAGTCCACAACATTTTCATTACCCTAAAAGAAACCTGTACCCATTAGGAATCATTCCCCCTTCCTTCCTTGTCCCAGTCCCGGGCAACCACTAATCTACTTTCTGTCTCTATTCAGAGCCTGTTGTAGAGCAAATATTTTCTACCCCGCTTTAGAATAGCTGAATGAAATTTTGAGATCATATAACCTATCTATTCATATACGTTTCAGCTACGCTCACTATGTACCTATTATCATTCTGTGCATTCCACTTAATACAGTTTGTGCATTCTCCCGTGTCACTAGCAATGCCTCGACAGTATGACTTTCAATGGCTGAAGGAATTCCATCAAACAGATATTGCATAGTGCATCTAACCAATCCGGTATAGTTGGAATTTACATTTGAATACTGAGTTTAAAAAAATCTGGGAACCAAGTTTAAACATTTGTGTTTTGCATTTCAAGAATTGATTTCAAAAACAAGCCACAGGTATTAAATCCTTTCTTTGCATCTGTATATTTAGAGCCTCATATGGAGGTGAGACAGTGGGATAGAGGAAAGCTGAAAGTCTCTGTCTATCACCACACCCTGTGTGTAGAGCAATTAGGAGGCTAGCCCTTTTTTATGATAAGGAATTTGGTGGCTCATATGGTGGCAGTCCCTACATAAACTTTCACTTCTTAGAGGTATTTCCCAGAGATTCTATTTTAAAAGTCCCAGAATAGCTGTGTTAAAGTCCAAAGTAAAGTAAGATCAAAAGGGAACTTACATTTATTTGGCATTGTTTGTGCGGGCATCACCTTATCCACTCACAGCTAGTCTTCGAACCATTAAACTTTATTTCAACAAAGTGTAACATTAACATCCCAGCCTGACTTGCGTCTGACTTCTAGCACCAAAAAGAGCCTTTTCTGTGACTTAGGTGCAGGATCTACCCGTATAGGAATTAGTGTTTGTATGAAAAGAGCTGAAACCCAGCTTCTGAATCAGCCAGGATTTTATTATTTTATTTTTACTACAGAAGCAGAGACTATCCTAACAAATCCTCCTTTCTTCTCCTAGCACACTTAAAAACCCATCTTTGAGCTCCACTGACTCCATTAGGTTTGAACTTTGGTATTAAGTACATAGGGAGGAAAAGAGTAGGTGTGGGGGTGATGAGGAGAACAGAGAGAAGCACAGAGACAGGAAGGAAGTGAGGCAGCTTGATGCTACTGCTGCGGTTATCCCTACACTCAAGAACAATGAAGCAAAAGCAGACTATGTCAAGAAGCAGAGGTGTGTCAAAGACACCCCAGGCTTAGCATGGGGCTGCAAAAACCCACAGGAAGCTCACATGCTATTTCCTAGACACTCCCGCACATGAACCACTTTGACTTCTGTTTCCGGACTCCTTGATTTAGTTTCTGTTTTAGCATTTGCACAATAATAATTTTACTACTAAAAGTAAACGTCTTGTAAACTAATGGGAAACATATTGTTTGGCAGAGTTTATAATGTCAGGATTTATGGCTCTAACACTGAGGGTCTCTCTGACCTCGAAGATAACATAATGAAACAGCAATGTGCTGCAAATGACTCGTTGTGATTTTTTATTAGTTCTCATAATCGCCTCTTATTAATTTGTATGCACATAATAAGCACTCACCTTCACAGTCTGTCCAGCTTCGGGGCCATCCTAGAAGTAGGAAAAAACCAACAGAGGTGAGAATAGATAGATGGTATCTCCTTCTTACTCAGAAATATCACCCATTAATAATTTAGATGCAATTTCATTGTGTGTTAATTTATAGTATTCTCATGGGGACCATTGGCTTCAAATGTGTGGGACTAGACAGTTCTCCATTTCCGCCTGAGAGTGAGAAGTTATGTATAAAAATGATATAAATTATCCAGCAAGCCAACTCCTTGCTACTTTTCATGCTCTTTGCTCTTGGCTATGGTTTTAACTGCATTAAAGGAAGGCTGAAAATGTTTGGGGAGGTGAAGTATCACACCTTTTGGTTATCTTTAGATGTGGTTTAATTAAAGTCTGATTACTTTAAGCTTCTATTCAGGAAATCTGCTATAAACATAAGCCATTAAGCAAGAATATGGGGTATTTCATATGAGAAGAGTCCTCTCTGGCTATTCTGACCTTGGGGGAGACCAATGGTAGTGTTCATTGTAGCTGGACCCTTTTCCCAACCTGGTTCCCTTTCTCTGTTTCTGAAGCTTAGTTGAAAATGAGCAAACTCACCAAGTAACCGGCCATAATAAAAAGCAAAAGCGGATACTCAGTTGGTTGAGATGGCAAAACAAGCAATAGCTCCACAATCAGAAATTCCAAAATAGAATTTGGCTTCTGCAACTTTAGCCAGGTCTGTCTACCTCTACAAGCCTGACTGATGGGGTGAGAACTCCTGCCCTGCTATGGCAAGGATTAAGCGCAACTGTGTATATCAGGGATTTTCAAACTTTGAGTCACAACCTATTAATGGGTCATGAAGTCAACGTAATAGGTTGCAATCAGCATTACAAACAAAATAAATCAGGTGTTTTTGTTGTTGCTGTTGTTGTTGTTTTATACAGGGTCTTACTCAGCTGTCCAGGCCAGAGTGTGGTGGCATGATGGCGGCTCACTGCAGCCTTGACCTTCTGGACTCAAGTGATTCTCCTGCCTCAGCCTCCCGAGGCAGGAGATTAATTACTGATAGGAAATCAATATTCACTGTTACACCATCAGGCATGCACCATCATGCCTAGCTAATTTTTGTATTTTTTTAGGGACAGGGTTTTCCCATGTTGCCCAGGCTAATCTCAAACCCCTGAGCTCAAGAGAGCTGCTGGTCTTAGCCTCCCAAAGTGCTGGGATTACAGGCATGAACCACCGCACCCAGCCAGAAATCAGATCTTAATAGAATAAAAACTATTAGACTGCACAGAATGAGTAAACATTGTTTTGTGAAACTCTGGTTTCCTTTATCAATATAGGCACATGCATATATTTCATATATGTGTGCCGGGGGGACATGCATGATTTTGAAATAAATATATATCTTGCTGTAAGTTACAGTAAAAAAAAAAAATAGTTTGACCACATTGCATATATGAAAGTACTCTAGGTGGTAACACAAGTCAGCTCTTACATGTATGGAATTATCTTTCTAGTGAAACATGTTTCATAACCAGCAATGGTCATTTCCTATAAATGTGATTTTTATTCTTGTATCTCACTAAACATTAACAGAGGTTTTCATTCACTGCCTTCGTTTGGCCTCTCCAGGAACACCGTTTGCAACATAAGCTTGATAACCCCCTCTGAGCTGAACTCCCTGCCTAGAGGTGACCCAGATGGTTTGACACACAACACACACACACAAAGCATTTGGGGGAAGTTTAGCTACTCTTAACACAGATACGGCAGCAAAAAAAGAAAGAAAAAAATCTGTTTGAGAAGATGAGCACTTTTAGTCAGAGCCTTTATAACCTGAAAACACTGGCTTTCTTTATCTGGTCTCTTTGAAGCTCTATGGTAGATTGCTGAGGAGAGGAGGAAGAATGACAAACATTCAGTTTAACAGGCTGAGTACAGAATCCCCACATTTTGAAAGTGTGTCTTTCCAAAGGGCAATTACAGAGTCATCCAATTTCAGAGCCATGAAGGACTTTATGCATTGACACCCCAGCCCTTTCCATAGAGGACCTGAAGGAGCTCATGGTATGTTACTACGGATTTACTCAATTCCCTATTGATGACTCACCATGGACATCCTTCTCCCAACCTGAGAAGTGTTGGTTCAACCTCTGCCTAAAAATCCTCAAAATCTCCAGTGACTAGGGATCTGATTTCTTTACTGGTTAGTAGGCCACACCCAACCAGTCAATCTAGCTTCTAACTAATCTGTGATCAACCTCTGCAGCTTGAATTAAAGACAGACAAAAGGTAAGGCCCAACCTAAGCTGTATATCACTGCCACCCTGGAATTAGAGCAGGGCTTTGTCCATGCAGTGCTCAAAAATTAGTTACCATGGAATGAAAATGATTTCTCCAGTCCCAGTTCCAGTAAGCAATCTGGAATGTCTGAATGTCCATTAAATCACTTATCCATTACTCCCACCTGCTTGGTAAAGAAGCCTCAGACATCACCTTGGATGCTATTCCATGGTCCATCTTGGGGCCGATGGACAGTAGGGCTGCCCTGCATTAATAACATCTTTTTTCGGCTGCTACATAAAATACAAACAATCACATCTGCCTTCCTGGTGAGATGTCAGGAGGAGCAAGCCCAATGTCGGGATTTGAAAAGGAAGAAAAATAATTTCTGAGTAATCTGTACACTCACCTGCATGGAAAAGGTGAGAGAGGTCCCATGGAAATGTTTTTCCACCACTGTCCCAACTCTCTGGGTCACCTGAAACAAATCAGCCACTTCATCAGGTCGCAGGTCACGGAAGCGCTCCACTGGCCGCAGTGGGCACACGAGGACATCTGTAGCAAGGTCTGTTAAGGTCCATGCTGCTGGCTTTGTGTAGTGTTCTAACCAAGCAGTTTATACCCACAGGATTGAATCTTCTTGGACCAGGGCCTGAACTCTCAAAGACTAAGGAATGAAGAAACAGATATTTACCATCCACTGAACTCCAAAGAGTTCAAAGAGAGCTTCCATACATGGATAATTACACTTTGAAGGAGAAGCTGTGGTACACAGAAGAATTTCTCGCAAAAGAAAGGGACATATGTGTACAGAGAGACTCAAGTGTATGGTGAGATAATTATGCCAGGAGACCAGATCTATTCTAGACCATTATCTCTTGACCCCTATTCTAAAGCTGTGTCCGCTTCAGCTGCCAAAGGCACTAGGTTGAAGAAGCAACTGGAATATCCACTTGGTTTCTCTAGGTAGAACATGGTGATAAATTTTTAATTTAAATTATCTCTTTAGAGAAATAAGAGAACTATGCAATGAACATACAAAAGTAGATGTTTATTTTATTTTTAAAAGAGTGTAGACATTCTGAAAATGTATAGTGAACTTTATCCATAACTAAGAAATGTGTCATGTGGTTAAGCAATTTATGACAAGAGTTCCTTAGACTGATTTTTTTTCTAGAATCCAAAAGAAGACATTTGAAGTTAAATCATGAAAGAAACAGCTTGTCTCGTTATTCAAATAAAACATTCTTAATGCATTCTGCAAGTTAGACAAGACAACATATTTACATTACTGTTCTCAGCAACATATAAGATCTAGAGAAAAAAAGGATAGAAATTTGATTAATTACTGATAGGAAATCAATATTCACTGTTACACCATCAGTAACATTTCAGTTACTATACACATATGTATGCACATGTGTGTCTATACATGCACTATATAGATATAAAAAATATTTGTTTAGTTTTTAGATACTAACAAGAGAAACAAACTCTTGTACGTTTTTCTGTTTCTTTTTTCTTGTTGTTTTAAGACACCATGTTCCTGCCTGGAGCTAAGCAGCTAAGGGGCATAATAAAACCATAATTCTGCAATTGCTAGTCTCACTAGAATATCAACCCCATTCCACTATTGGTAGAACTCAGAGCCCAAGGGGAAACACACTGAGCTCAGCTGGTCAGGCCTGATTTCCATAAGAGAGAGGGGAAAAGAAAGAAGAAACTGATTAATTTTGCTCATAATCAGGAAATTCATGTCAATGGTAAACTATGAAAAGAAGCATTTTTAAAATCGGAGTTCATTTCTCAAGAGAGGAGTAGGGAGGCCTTCACCCACAGGGCATCTGATACTTAAAAAGATAATTATCCATCTTTGGCAGGCCTGCTTTATTATCATGGGTCAATGAACCATTTAGAAATGAAGAATTTCCTTTCATTTCCTTTGAGCAGATTGCCAGCCTCCACTCCCACAGAGTTGCTTTTTCTGTGTTAAAAGGGACCCTTCCCCATATGCGCCCTCCCTGCTTTAAATTACACCCTCCCTTAGGCCTGGCTTCACCAAACCACAGCAAGGGTGACAACCATGCAAGCTTACAACGAAGTCCGTAAGTGCTGTATTAGGCTATGTTCACACACAGCAACTCAGTGGGGAAGGAAGACATTTCACTTAAACAATGGCTTACTGTGAAAATTGATGGAATGAATCAGACAACCTATGCATCTAATGTAAATTTAGTAATATCAATGACATCCAAAAGTTTTTTTTTCCAATGCCATAAAAAAATCTTATTATTTGCCAGTTTTGCTTGTTTGCATGTTGCTCCTAGAAAAACAACTCAGGGAAAGCGAATTAATTTGAAGAACAGCAGATAGTTTTTGTAATTCTAATGCCACTTTTCATATGCCAATTGTTTTAAAATAATACCACAGATGCAATATAATTTAATCTGGAGCCTCTTAAGCTTTGTTAATGGGTAAATTCCATATTATACATAGGCTATAAGGACACATTTACTTCTGGGTCCTGTTTGCCTGGGATTATCACCTCTGTCAAGATTTCTTAGCCAACATGTAGGATAACCTTCAAAGACTTAAACTTAATATATTGAATTGAATAAATGTTTTATCCAGTACATATCATGTGTGAAAACTTGTGGAGCTGGTTACCACTTCTCCCTATAATCTAGAGAGATTTTTTTAGTAGTAATATTTTTTAAAGGAAGCGAAGGTCAATAGTTATAACTTAGGTTGTATAGTTGACAAGGAGATTTCTCACAGTAGATGAAAACCAAAGGCAACCTCTTAGAGCAGATGAGATTTAAACTGGACTTTAAAAATCGGGGAGTGATTTAGCCAGTGGATTGGGCTGGCAACCTACTCACTCATCCATCCCAACACTGCAGTCTCCTCTCAGTCCATGATCTATGCTGGGACTTAGGATGCTAAGGTGACCAGGACAGAGTAGCTGACCTTGAGGAGTTCACATTGTAATGTCCCAAACTGCCATGCAGTGCAAACAGATCATTACAACATAGAGAAATGAATGCTATCGGTAGAAATCAGTATAGAATACTGTGGGAGCACAGAGGAGGTCAGATCTAACTCTGCCTCAGGGTGTTAGATAAACTTTTCCATCTCATCCTACATTTTGCCTTTTAAAGTAGAACCATTTCTCCACACCTAGACCAAAATTTGTCCTTAAAAATGGTCTAGCAACTTAAGGTTAGCTTCAAAGACAGTTGTTAAGCATTCCTCCTTTGGCCCAAATCACCATTTCACTTTTGTACATACTCTTACTTACTCAATCTTTCCAACAAACCCATAAATTATTAATACTATCGTAATTCCCATGTTGAAGATGAATTATAAGCAATAATTTCTTTGGGAAAATTAGAAACTTGCCACACCAGCACACTCAAAATGAGATTAAAACTAGAATTCAACTCAAGTCTGTCTGATTCTAAAGTTCACATTATTAATGATAGTGCTGTGATGTCATGCTTCTTAGAGCTTTCATGACTCCATTTCTGCCTAGCCTCTTATTAAAACTGTGCCCTGCATTCCCTAGAGTCACTCTGTTCATAGAAGGGAACCACTGTTTCCATTAAATAGAAGGCTATGATGCAAACATGCTAAAGGCATAAGAAACACCTAACCTTGGAAAAAGAAAGCATATGAGACCTACAATCCCACACTGAAAGGAGGCCTGAGCACTAGGCAGTGAATACGCCTTCATCCTAACAGGGAATTGTAAGAAGATCAAAAATGAGAGTACCAACTTGCCTGAGCTGGAGGAAGTAAAGAGGGATACAAAGCTGGTATTTTGGCCCTTCTTCATCCTGACTTTCAGTTGCTTCAAGATAACTTGGGCTCCATCATGGGCCAGACTCCTGAGACAGTTTAGGTACTGCAGCCTCTATCACTGGGTCAGGTTGTCAGACACACTGAATCCATTGCTTGTTGGACAGTCTAATTACTGAGAATTATGGATCTTTTCACAACACATGATTCATATCACAAGAGACTACCAGAAACTTGGCAATCCTTTCTTTTTGTTTTCCCTCTTCCTCTCTTCCTCTTCATGCTTACCACCAGCCCAGAACTGACTATCTCTATCTTTTTGAACATAAATACGTTAGGTGTTTTTGCTGCATTAAAGTGGTGTGACCACATGCCAAGCCCTATGCTGAACTGTTGCTGACACACTGCCAACTCAGAATACACACAATGAAAGAAAGAAATATTTGCATTAGTCAGGTGCCTAGAGCTGGTGTGGTTTACTGTTTGCAAATATGACCACAAGAATCCCTCCCGTCCTACAGGCTGTTTTGCTATGTGGCTTTACCCCTCTTTCCATCAAGAGTTGCAGTCTATTTGCCCTCCCCTTGAGCGCTTGTCTTACTTTGTGTTTGTGTTGCTATAAAAGAATACCTGAAGCTGGGTAGTGTATAAAGAAAAGGGGTTTATCTGGCTCACAGTTCTGAAGGCTGTCCAAGAAGCATGATGCTGGCTTCTGAATTTGGTGGAAGCCTCAAGATGCTTCCATTAATGGCTGAAGTGGAAGGGGAAACGGTTTGCAGAGATCAGATGGTGAGAAAGGAGGCAAGAGAGATGGGAGGGAGGTGTCAGACCCTTTTCAACAACCAGCTCTTCTGGGAACTAATAGAGCAGTAGAGAGTTCACTGGTTACCACAAAGATGTTATCAAGTGATTCATGAAAGATCTGCCCCCAAACACTTCCCATTAGACCCTATCTTCAACATCAGGGATCAAATTTCAACATGAGGTTTGGAGGGTCAAATATCCAATCTACAGCAGTGTTGCTGTGTGACTTTCCAACGTTAGGCCTTAAGTGACCTTGAAACCTCTGATTATTGCTCTCTTGGAAGCCTGAGACCAACATGCTATAAAAAATGCCAGCTAGCCTACTAAGTGGCAACATGAAGAACTAAGGCACCTCAGCTGTCAGAGAGGTGCCTTACTGTCAGAGATCATTTCAGACCTTCTAGACTCAGGAGAGCCACTGACTGACTTCCAGTTTCTGTATCACTTATCTACTGCTGCATAATAAACTACCCCACATCATAGAGGCTTAAAACAACATTGATTGGCCAGGCGCAGTGACTCACGCCTGTAATCCTAGCACTTTGGGAGGCCAAAGTGGGCAGATCACCTGAGGTCAGGAGTTCAAGACCAGCCTGGCCAACATGGTGAAACGCCATCTCTACTAAAAATACAAAAAAATTAGCTGGGCATGGTGGCAGGCATCTGTAATTCCAGCTACTCAGGAGGCAGAGACAGGAGAATCCCTTGAACCTGGGAGGTGGCGGCTGCAGTGAGCTGAGTTCATGCCATTGTACTCTAGCCTGGGTGACAAAAGCAAAACTCTGTCTCAAATCAACAGCAACAACAAACCAACATTGATAGGTTTTACTACCATAAGTCTATGGATGGTTTTTGCTGAGGGTCTCACCTGGACTCACTCATGCAACTGCTTTCAGATGGAAGGTAGGGTGGAGCCTGGGCTCAGCTGGATCCACTAGACCCTTCACTCT